ACGACCGGTAATCCCATGTTTGGATTGGCCTAGGATTATTATAGAGAGAGATTAACAAAATCTTTTCAATTTTCGATTGTCCAAACAACTTCTTTGTCTCCTATTTTATATGGGTGAATTACACTAACGATTCTTATAGTTTAAGACTTGCGTCACTTTGATTTCTAACTTTTCAATTGTGACACATTTAATCCTAAATTTTGAATCTTGTTCCAAATAAGGACAATTGAAGATACTATTACTTAATTTCAAGAACAAAATCATTAATTTGATAAAATATAAACTAATTTGACAAAAATAAATGTCAAAAAAAGATTTTTGAATTTTCAAAAATTAGGGCAAATTGCATATATCCCCTCGAGGTTTAGCAAAATTACAGATACTCCTCTGAAGGTTATATTTGCATAACAAATTAGGGGGCAAATTGTTATGAAAATATAAAACTTAGGGAGCAATTTGTTATGAAAATATAAACCTCAAGGGGGTATCTGTAATTTTTGAAACCTCAGGGGGATATCTGTAATTTAGCTAAACCTCGAGGGAGGTATATGTAATTTGCCCTAAAAATTATGTCTACCCACTAAAGATAAAATTATGTAAAATTGATAAATCTTTTAGATATTTATTTTTTATCAAATTAATTTTTATTATGTGTTTGGATAATAATCATGTAATGGGTGATTGTTTTTATTTTCATTAAATTAGTTTCTATGGTAACAGCTTTGATATCATTACTAAACCAATCCATTAAATCAAAAAATTTAAAACTAAAAATATTTTCATATATTAAATATATCGATTACACATTAAAATCCTAACAGCCACCCATTACATGATCATCATCCAAACACATAATAAAAATTAATTTGGTAAAAAATAAATATTGAAAAGATTTATCAATTTTACATAATTTTATCTTTAGTAGGTGGAAATAATTTTTAAAATTTTAAAAATATCTTTTTGACATTTATTTTTATCAAATTAACAATTTTGCCCTTGAAATTAAGTAATGGTATCTTCAATTGTCCTTATTTATAACAAGATTCAAAATTCAGAATTAAATGTGTTATAATTAAAAAGTCATGAACTAAAATAATACGAGTTCCAAACTATAAAAACTGTTAGTATAATTCGCCCATCTTATATTGCACGCCCAGTTTTAAGAACTTGGTCTTTTAAGTCCATAGAGTTGGGCCAACGTCAACTTTTTGGCCTATTATCACTTGGGCTAAGCTTGGAATGAGATTCATATGCCCGAAATTGGTTGGCGGGCGTGGCTTAACTGTGAATTTTTTTTTTTTTAATTCTTGTCCCGGCCCAGCCTGGCCCCCATTGGATGTATGCCCACCCTAATGCTGTGTTTGGTTGAGAGATTTGAGGAGGGATTTGGAAAGGGAAAGGGAAAAAGTGTGTGAAACTAGGTGAAATGTAGGTACATTTTATTTATATTTCACCTAACTTTTCCATTTCCCTTTCCAAATCCCTCCTCAAATCCTCCAACCAAACACAGCGTAAGTGGGAGTCAAAAAACGAAAACAGAACAAAGTTTTGTTGTTGAGAGGACCTAGCCCAAAGTGGGCTAGCCCATGTGCTCCACCGCCCCCATACAGAACCGGGTCGGGTGTTGTCCATTTATATATAGGGAAAATTATATTAAATTTTTTCTCTCTGTTGCGTAAACAATTTTATCCTTTTGTTTCTATTTTTGTTAACTGTAAATAGTATCATTTCTATTTCATTTCAATACTATTTCTATTCCGTTATCTGTGTTAAAAATTTTAAAAACGACGTAATTTAGCTTTAACTTTAAACGTACGCTATTGGATTACCGCAACAAAACAAATTCATTGTAGATAATCTTGATCCCAAAATATTACCCACAAAATTCTTTGATCCGTGAGGAAAATGACAATTCTAAAAATTTAGAAGTGGTGATCAATTTAATAAAATATGAACCTAAAAATCAAAGTTTATACTAATCATGTTTTTAATTGCTCAATATGGAATGAGTAACTATATTAGTCATCCATTCAGTCCTAAAAATATCATTTTTATTTTTAAAAAATTCCATAATTTCATAACTAACTCGTACTAATACCTACAAGTTCATGAAACTTGCATGCTTATAAAGTGCATTGTTCTCAATGTTGGTAATTAGTTTGTGTGCATGTTTTCCATTTTAGGGCCATGGAAGCTTGTCAAATTCAAAGGCAATTAATTGGTGTGGGCATGATTTGCATGCTATGTAATCACACCACATTCATGTAAAGAGAGCATTTATAGGTGAAAGGGATCTGAAATAACAAAAGTTAAAATTTGTCATAGCATTTTTTTTTTATAAATTGGATAATTTACTTCTTAGATAATTTCTAGAATCAATAAGTGCTTTACTACTTAAATCGTTGAGATATTGGAGGAAATTAATACTAAAATTTCAATCATATCATTTTACTCTAGTAATGACATTTTATTATAAAATTGACATAGGGTAAAAAGTTTATTATATTGTTTTTAAGAAACCATAATTAATATAGCAAAAAGTTAGGCTTGTCTATTAGAAGAACTATAATTAAAGCAAATGAAATAAGGTTTGACTAGAAAAAATAACAAGAAGAAAGGTTGATTAATTAAGGCAACAAAAAGAAAATGACAGAAAAACATATACAAAAAGAAAAATAAAAAGCAAATAATTAAACGTTGCTATGCATTTGAAAGAAATGTGATTCCATTATCATTATATAGTTGCTCAACAATAACATATAAACTCATTACCTGTTTTGCAACCTCTCGTCTTATATATAGAATCAAGAACGATGACGGAGCTAATCTGAGAGGTAGCCCTGCAATCTAGTTTGTTTACTTGGACATGCTTACTGTTGATGAGCTTCTCTCGGATTCGTTTCCATATCATAAATCTATAATAGGGTGTTATGTGAAGTAGGGGGAAACAAACTGCAATATTGTGAAAAGTTTAAGGGATATGGGTTGTTAGACATTGATGCAAATCCTTCTGCGGAATGTGGTGGCAAAAACGAGGGTAATGATGATCAAGCTGTCAAAGTGATTGACATTATTTACACAATTAGGCCGGAGAGTAATCTCCTTATTAGTTTGTTGAATGGTTTAAAGTTCAATTCACTTCAATTTTACCTTCAATGTTTTTTATTGGGCAGAAGTTCAATTTCCTCCAATTTTTCCTTCAATTTTTTGATTAGGGAGGATAAACATCATGATATTTTTTATGGTTCTACTAACTAACATACAATGTTTTTTATTGGGCAGAAGTTCAATTTCCTCCAATTTTACCTTCAATTTTTTGATTAGGGAGGATAAACATCATGATATTTTTGATGGTGCTACTAACCAACATATTTTTACAGAAATAATTCATAGGAAGCACCTTCAAAGTTAAGGAAATGGAAAAATATTAATAATGGTATTCAAATTCGAGTGAATTCATATAGAGACATTGTTTTAGTTTATGTTATTGTTTTGCTAGCTGTTTTTATAGTAGGCAACTTAGAATTTCCACTTTTATTACTTTAGGCTACCTTCGAATTATAAAAAAATTTAAAAAAATTAAATAAAACCTCTAATCTGTTCAATGATGCCAATTTTCAACGCAACGAGGACTAGTATGGGACAACTTTACTACTTTGATACTGGACTGTTGGGTACTAGCACCACATAATCTCTTTGAACCCCAAATTTTCATTATTTTTTTATTACAATTCAACCTTTTGATAAATTTTTAATTTATCCCATCCTTAACCTCTCAAACCCTAACCATATTAGGGCGGTGTTTGGCAACGGGTTGGGCAGGCTATTTTAGCCTTAAATTATAAAATAAAATAAAAAAGCCATGTAGCCTGGGTAGAGAGGTTGAGTTCAGCTAGATGTCATTAACTAGGTAAAAAGACATTTTTACCCTTTGTTGCTCATATCCAAAAACCAAAAAGTGATAGGCAGTTTGGTCAATTTACTGATGTCAAACTAACATCAACTTAATTAATTTATTACAAACAAATTTTTCAACCCAAGTCAACACATGACAGATGGTGGCAGTGTCCTCACTGCCACGTGGAAATGTCTCCTATATTTTATTAATTTTTGTTTGGACAGTTTAATAAATTTACATGTTATCATCATTTCAAACACATTTTTCAATACAATAACTCAAATAAAAATCTATCATATCTTCTCAAACACAAACTAAAATAGACTACTAAAATAGTCAAAAGCCAAAAAACCTAAAAATTAACCACTTCCCAAACACCCACTATATATCACTCACCCTCTCTCTCTCTCTCTCCCATTGTGATTCTCTTTATCGCTTTGCTTGCAATAGTTAGTGGTGGCGAGGGAGGGTAGGGAGGGGTTAGCGGTTGTGCCAAAGGATGGGGAAGGGCTTGGCAGTGGCACCAAAGGGTGTTGAGGGGCTGACTGGAGCTGGGGTGGAGAGAGAGAGGGTGGCCGGAGCTTGTGGTGGCGGGTGAGGTGGGGATAGAGTTAAGATTTGAGAAGGTATGGTTTAATTTTGGTATTAACTACGGATCCAAAAAAATTTTACAAAATTTAAAATTAATTGGTGGGTACAAAGAAATGGGCTCCAAAGAGATTATGTAGATGCCGTTATAATCAACAAAACTATTTTTCATAACATAGGATGTGGCATTTATTGGTTTGGGCATTTCAAATAAGAAATTTTTTCTTTTGATAAATCATTTCAAATAAGATTTATTATTATAATTCAAAATTAAAAAATGTCATTCACCATGTCATTTGTCTGAAAAAAATCTACATATCTATTTGCATAACACTTCATTTCTAATTAATTCATTATGAAAACTTTATGAATGAATGAAACAGGCATGTGTTACACTGCTTTTTTGCAACTTGAACACAAACCGGATCTCTGACTTGAATGGAACAACCCCTGGTTTCTTACAAGAGTCATTTATAGTCCTATTTTTTGAGGATTTTTCTATAGTCATCTTAAATTGAACCGAGAAAACTACAAATTGAACCGTAAAGCAAAATCATAGAATTGAGTCATAGCACATTCAATGCCCAATTAACATAACCCAGTTTGTAATGCATGTGCCGTCCACAAACATCAAACATGCAATGTTTTCTTCATTGGTAAGAGAATAGAGCAGAAAAGGCCATCTCCATGAAGTGTAAACATTAAAACATGCATAGATATTTAGCATGCGAAAGCATTGTTTTGATTTTGTGTAAACCTCTTCTAAACGGTTTGTTTCTACATGATTTGATATAAAAATCGTACCTCAGTCCACCTAATTCTCGTATGAAAATTCTAGCGGCATGTTGCAAAGTACTCGCATAGTATTGCTGGCCACATCCAACAGCTGCAAATACTCATCTGCTCCATCAACAAGACACTGCCAATTCCACAAAAGCAAAAGAATTATGCCTTGCGCTTCTGTTTGAAAATTATTTTATATAAATATAAACTAAAGAAAAAGGGGAACACAGAGAACCATCAGTAGCAAAGCCACTACTCTGGTGGAGCAAATACTCTCTCTCTCTCTCTCCAGTTTTTATAAAAAGATAAATCCAAACTTTAAAAATGTATCTGCAGAGTGCAGACCCTGCACAATCTAATAAATGAATTAATTTTAAGTCACCAACCTTATCCACTTCACCCAATTTCTTGCATATTTTTGCTTTCTGTTCATCTGATACACCATCTGCTTCGACAACTATGTCAAACAACTGGAAGAACAACTATATCAGTACTTGCAACACTTAATTGAATGAAGCATTGATTAAAATTAGTAACAATTGGACCTGAGAAAGCATCTGAGAAACTGGATATCCCTCTGCAATTACATTATTGACTTCCTTATTTGCCAAGTCAAAATTACCACTTTTGCAAGCTGAAAAAAAAGCCTGAACAACCTCCTGAGGGATGACCTGATTAATTGAATTCTCAGGAATTAGCAGATGGCATCGTAAAGAAGAGGAAGAACAAATCTGGGAGAAGTGTAATGTCAAAACAAAAAAGCAATGCGGACTCTGAATTTTCCAGAGAGGATGTCAACTCAGCAAAGACCCTCAAAAAAACAAAGCCAAAAAAAAAAAATTAAAGGGAAAATTTCATTTCACCCCTTGTGGTTGACCCATGTGCGGATCACACCCTTACCATTTGGAAATAATCACATAACCCTCATGTGGTTTACGGACCAAAGTGCACATCTAACTTCTGTCAACAGCAATGGTAAATGGACCTTTATACCCACCCTTGTCTTCTTCATCATTTCATCTAACTTATGTTCTTGCATCTTCCCTCTCTCATGGCAGCAACCATGGCTGCCAATCACCGCCTCCATTCCTCTTTCTTCTCATTCTCTTCTCTCCCCACTCTGTCACTCTGGCATCACCGCCTTACACTCCATCCACTCAAAAGGAGCCAATGTGGCAACAACAGCCTGCGTCAGTCCCATTCACCGCCAAAGATGGCACCCAGCACCATCTAATTTCCCAGTCATGGCACCCACTGCAATCAGATTTCTAGTTCCCAGCCACAACACCCATCTAGATTTGAGTTCCCAGTGTTCACAATCTATTAGCACCAATGAATCTGTTGAGTTTTTTTCATTTGGTTATGTGTATTATATATGTACATAAGTATATAAGTATATGTGTAATATGTGTATGTATATTAAAAATGTAATTAAACCAGACCAGAACTAGGTTGCAAATTAGAAATTAAGTTATAAAATTAGAATTATTTGGATTTATTATTTAATTAACAATTATGTTTTAAGTTAAGAGATAAAAAGAAGATAGAGGCTAAATGGCAAAAGATGAAAAATTATTAATAACAATTATGTTTTAATTAAAAATATTTTAGTGAGGTGAAAACACTTTTTTTATTACTGAGTTTTTAGTAAATTGACCTTTAATTACTATTAATAACAATTATTTTTTTTAATAACAAAAAAGTGTTTTTAGTAAATTGACCTTTAATCTTTTAACAATTCACTAAATACCAAAAATACAAAAAAAATAAATAAATAAATAAGAATTCAGTATATTTTTCATATTTTCATGTATTTATTAATTTTTTAAAATATTTTTTTACAAATTTTTTATTTTTTAGATACATCTAAGGGTTGGTTTGAGATGTTCTAAAAAAGTACACTTTTTGACTTATTGGCTTATATGGGTTGGGTTTGGATTGGGTTTGATGTGATGTGTTAGAGAGGTGATGTGATTTAAATAAGATGACGTGACTTAAATAGGATAATGACTTTTTGACTTTTTGTATTATTTAGGTCATGCCAAACTTGGCCTAAGTAAGGTGCATCTAAAAAAGTAAAAAAAATGCTTAAAATGTTAAAAATATTCACTTAAAAAAAAAAACAAACAAAAAAATCAGTTTTCAAAAAACTGAATCCAAAAAACTCAAACCAAACACACACAATGGCATTCTTTGGTAAATTTGAAGATGTATAAAAAATAGACATACTCTCCACATAGGCATATAACTTTCACAACTCGTTATCTTAGACCAAAAAAACTAACGGTGCGTTTTAGTCCATAAACCACATGAGAATTATATAGTTATTTCCAAATGACAAGGGGGTGATCCGCACTTGGACCAAACCACAAGGGGATAAAGTGAAGTTTGCCCTAAAATAAAAAATATCTTGACCAAGTCATTGAGCTTTCAACAACGGTCAACAAAAATGATTACCTCTATGATTAACACCAAGGTAACAATGAGGATTTGTTTGAACAATTCGTGTATAGAAGCCTTAATGAAGCCACCATCTTATCTACTACCCATCTAAAGCCGTATGCAAAAAAATAAATAAATAATAAAGATTTTTTGTATTGGTTATGTTTTGACCAAAATCACCACTCAAAATTGGAGTCATAGCTAATCTTGAAAATATAAAAGCATGGCTCATACACCAAAGTGATATAAACATGGCATGGCTTTACTTGCACCCATAACAAAGATTTGTACTTAGTTTTGAAACGTTTTATCAGCATAATAATGTTCTAGGATGTAGAGGGTCAAAAATTAAAGTCAAAATTAAGTATGGACCTAAGTGCGGAGATCACCCCTGCTAGGCGACCACGAATGATTAAAGGAGTATGAGCTTAAACCCAAGGGAAGTAGGTCAACAGTGGGTCGGAGCAGATCCGACCTGCCAAAAGTATGAACAAGCTCCATAAAGAAAAATTTCTAAGTCAAGTTGCGAGGCAGCACTTGCAATGGCTAAGTTGCTGAAGCACTTTGTCTCGGTGCCGCCATTCCTAATATTCTCGACATCGCCATCTCAAGTATTGTCGGTGCTGCAATCTTAAGTATTGTCGGCGCCACCATTTGAAGTTGCTGAGAGAAAGAGAAAACTGGAACAACTAAGTTGCGGAGACAACACTTGCAGCGGTGAAGTTGCGGAGGTATTTTGTCGGCGCGCCATCTCTAGTATTGTCGGTGACGCCATTTGAACTTGTTATGGGAAACAGCCACCGTAGCAACTACAAATGATGCAACTAACTTGCGGAGGGAAGACTCCACTAAGGTGATAGCAACCTTTAGGAGAAGCTTTCCTTTTATAAGTAGAGACTAATGCTTGGTGCTGATGGCAAGCCCCAAGACATTACTAGCCTAGGACTGATAGCAGACCCCCAAAGTCGTCATTAGCTCGGCGTTGATAGCAGGCTCCAAAACTCACTAGCTTGGCACTGATAGTAGGCCCCAAAACTTATTGGTTGAAGCTGATAGCAAGTCCAGAGATATTAGTATACAGCTGCAACCCTGCGAAGATAGGAGCAGGGCAGCCCAAGAGTAAGGGAATCCCTTTCCATTTACCCAGGTCATGGACCTGCCTTGGTTGCACAAGCAGGGCCAAGGAAGCCCCCTTAGGCTTGATACTAAGGCACAACATAGCTGATAGCAAGCCTAGCTGTGGCCTTCGCCCTGGAAAGCTTGAGAGTTTGTGATTAGGTGGCTAAGGGAGGAGGCATCGCAGGTGAACACGAACATAACTGATAGCAAGCTATGAAGTCTTGAGAATGTACATCTCAACTAAACTGAACTGAGAAGGCAAGAGCAGCGACAAACATTACCGCTGCAAGTGCACTTGCTGATGTTCAAGCTGAAAAGGCAAGTTGCAGTAGCAAACACTCCCGCCACAAGTGCATTTACTGAGGCATCTGTGCCAAACATATAGTACACGGTACAGGCAGAGCAACACGTGGCACCTTCAGCCTAGTGGTCCAAGGCAGAATATTCTATGTGATTCTCAGGGACACATATCTTCACTTTATTTGACCACTTGGTATCCTTTTGGTGCAAAGGAAAAGCCTATAAATAGGACCTATTTTTTAATGTCCAAGAAGAGGATTTTTGGGAATTTAGGGAGATGCTGCCCATTTGTGCATTGTCATTCTCTTCTTCTTAAACCACTTGCTCCACCCTCACCCAACTAATCATTCTCCATCTTTTCCAGATTTTGTTGACTCATTTCTTCAGCCATTCTGACCTTGTTGGACCATTAACATACTTTTGCCTCTCTAATCACTCTCTTAATCACTGTTCATCTCAAACTCCCCTACATAGGGGCACCGTTCCCAAAAGCCACTCCCCCTCACCATCCCTTACACGGCTTTTGAAAACCAGAACATTAAAATTACTGGTCTCAAGAGGATGCTAAACAAGTGTCATCAAGGTGATCCAAATATGAGACCAAAACTTACCTTGTAACATACCCTGATGAGTGGCAACATTAACACTTTCATCCTAGATAAGATTCATTGGGAGAGAAGAGAATTCTATCAAACTAAAGCAAATCAGATTCAGAGTTCTTCTATCCAACCATAACCTACACCTTGCAGGATCTAAGTCCTATATGTAAGATTGTAGACTCTGCCAAATTAGACACAAAAAAGATTTGATGGTTCCTCAAGGATTTCCAGGATAATAGCAGAAAAAGCATGTCCAAAGAGTAAAATACTAAAACCACCTTTCCAACAGTGAGGACATATTTGCATCTTCCTTCATACTGACAACTATAGGGAATGTAGGATGGCAAACGTAAAAAAAAAAATTAAAAAAAAGAAGCACAATGCACAATGCAGCCAATAATTTTAATTACTGGTTCAAAGAACTCTGTCCCCAAAACTAATCATTTTAAAATCTTTGAGCCTTGTAAAATATCTTCTCCACGTAGAAAACTCCAAGAGCAGGATTAGAAAAACAAAATAATAATAATAAAATTCAATGCTACTAACTTACCCCTGACACACTGATCAAGTCATTGGAAGAAATAGATGATCCAAAGAGGCGAGCAGCTCCCTGTAACAACAAAAATGCAGAAGATCAATTTTTATTCAGGCATGAGAAATAAATTTGAAACTCCACATTAAAAGTTGTACTTGGAACTAACAACAAAACAAACAGCATATCTAAAGAATGATTAGAATTTCAAAATCACCAAACAAGATCGAATTTTAAATTCTTAATTGGAATGATTAATAAATATGGCACATCATAAGGCTTAACATGTTCTGTGATCATGATCGTGGCATGAAAACAAACAGCATATCTACAGAAAATGCACCTATTCATTTATACACACAACTTCAGTTTATCATTATTACAAATATCAAAGTTAACATAAAGGAAACTCGGTACACAAAATGGGAATGTGCAAACCTCCTCTTACCTGTAAGTATGTTATAGCCCGACGAAGATCGCCCTGTGAGATGGAACTTAACATTGAAAGAGCCTACAGTTGTAAACCAAACATACCTCATTAACAAAGAATGCAATTTTGCATAAGCCACTGCTTCCAAAACAAACTTCTAATGACTAGATCCACACCTCTGTATCCAGATTTAAGCCTTCCTCATTACAAATATGCAATATACGACTGGTCATGATTTCTTCTGAAAGTGGTTTGAACCTAAACTTTGCACATCTAGAAGCAAGCGGCTCTATAATCCTATATAGAGCATAACCATGTAAGTTACGAAGTTCTCAAGCTCTTTACAAAAGGACACAAAAGGACACATTTGCATATTTTTTGGGTGCCCCAACATAAATGATCCCCTTCTCATAGCTGAGCCCCCACCCCCCAACACACACACACATAAAGCACATGGGAAAAAGAAAAAGGAAAACTTTCAGTTAGCGGCAAGAGAAAATAATTAATATATAAAAAATAAAAAAGAAGAAAAAGCACCTGCTTATGTAATTACAAATGAAAAAGAATCTTGTGACTTTAGAGTATGTTTCCATGGTACGCCGCAAAGCATTCTGTAAAGTAAAAGGAAGCCTTTGAACGTTCATATTACAACAATGAACAATGTTGAATTAGTAAATGCCAACAAATAACAAACTTGCCTGAGCATCTTCAGTCATGGAATCTGCCTCGTCTAGGATAATTATCTTAAAAGGTGGGCAAGGATAACCCCTGAAGTATAGAAAAGACATCCAAAAGAATAGAAATTAAGCTGGGATGAACTAATATGAGCAAAACAAAGTGATCACAAGATAGGACTGTATACCCTTGACGTCCAGAACCTACAGCAACAGCAGCAAAGTTCTTTATTTTTGTGCGAACTACATTGATCCCACGGTCATCACTTGCATTCAGCTCCAGCACTCTAGATTTGTAGAGTTCAGGTCTGTCAAAGAAATTGTGTGGCTCAGAGAAAGCAAGACCACAATTCATCCCAAAAATGTTGTAGAATGAACCAGATATTTAGTATTCACAGAATGCTATAAATCATCTAATGTGAATCAAAGAGTGGTACATTTGAATTATCAAGATTTACGAGAGAAAACCATACCGTTTTCCCTCAACCGTTATTTAGTAACCCATAGCTACTAACAATATTATAAGAAGTGAAAGCTACACAGTAACCAGTTAATAAATGTCTATAGTCAAGAACAGTTCACCAATATTTGTCACGAAGCAAATATAATTATAACTCGAAATTCAGTGGAGTACCCAAAAAGCTGGTGCGCTATGGCAAGCGCTGTTGTGGTTTTGCCTGTTCCGGGAGGACCATAGAACAGCATATGCGGGCACTGCATAAAAACAGAAGCTAAAAAAATCAGACCAAACATATATTCAAATTTATGGTTGTTGTCAAAGCAATCTTTGATTCCTTCACAGCCCGTTAAGGGCATTTCCAACACTTTTTCTCAAAGCTAAATTGGAGTAAAAAAATACATTAAAATTCCCTCCACTTCTTCACTCAAATTTCTATCCAACCCAAAATTTCCACTTATCTCGTTCACTCCAACCCATAGCTATGGGGGAGAAAAACCCAATTGCAAATTATCAAACTAGGGTTTTTTCAGTTGAACAAGAAGAAATGTAAAGATGGTATTTTTGGGGGGTTTGGGAGAGTAATAGACTTACATTAGAGGTCTCGAGGGTGTTTGTGAGAACACGAACGACTTCGTCCTGGTGAGCTACGTCCTTCACTTGCTTGGGTCGACTGTGATATCAATCCGAAACCAAAATGAAAATCGAAATTATTATACGTGTATATATAAATGGTTACAATGTATGAAAAGAAATGAAAAGGAGAGTGATATGAGGAAGAGAAGGTGTACTATTTCTCGACCCATGGCTGGGAGCTGTGTACGAGTGGCGCCATCTCTCTCTCTCTCTCTGTCTCTCTGGTGCTTTTTTTCCCGCTTCAATTGGGTAGAAGGTACATATCATATATAATATGGGCATGCAAAGAATGGGCTGGGCTCTAATTGAGCAACTTGGAGCTTACCCAATGGTTTAAACTCTGATGCCTGTTCACCCAGACCACAAAAACTGGACTGATATTTTTTGAGAAAATAATGTATCAGAGACAGGTAAGTTCAAATATATATTTAAAAAATCTGAAAGGCATTTGAATGTTATGTTTCATTTCGATAATTTAAATTATTTATTTTGTAAAAATTTTGATATATATCATTTATAAAAAAAATTTAATTGATTTGATAATTGTAATTTTTTTTTTTCATTTTATTGTGTTTTGTCTCTGAAAAATAGACTATTTTTTTTTTTTTGAGAGACACGATATTGAAAATATTACGATTATTGAATTAACATATATTTTGGAAAATGTTTGGGTGTACAAGATGCATACCATATATTCTTGTATAAGTTCTCACAAATATATATAACTTATCTCATAAAATCACATAAATTCTTATAAATATACATAAATTAACCTATAAAAATTTAAGAAGTCACAATTTACATATATTTGTGAGAACTTATACGATTTTGTGAGATAACTTACGTATATTTGTGAGAATTTATGCAAGTATATATGGTATGCACTTGCATACTTAAAAATTGCCCTTTTTTCTATGGATGACATACACAAAGAGTCCTCCAAAATAAACGACTTGCATCATCGAAACGGAACTCATGATGGGCGTCACAGGTCTCTCAAGTTCTCTCAATTATTTTAACAATAAGTCTAAGGAGTCTCCCTAATTTATTCAAAAATTTATCAACTGTCCACATGCCAGGGCACCTCAATATGAATGTTGTTTTTATTTAAAAAGAAAAAATATATATGCAATAACCTAATCTTAACATAATTCAATTAATTAAGTTATCAATCTATATTACTCGTATGACCTTAAGTACATAGCCACAAAAAAAAAAAAAAAGCCTCACATAAATAAGTGATTACCAATTAGTTAAACAATTTACAAAAATAATAAATTCGTCTTTAAATATCAGTATTTTTTATTTTATTTTGATTAAAAAATCAATGAACCTATATCAAGATTTTTTATTCAATTTATTTGTTTGAATTTTCAAAAAAAAATCTAAAAATAAATTAGTTTGGTAAAAAAATGTGTTTTTTAATATTTATTTTTGTCAAATTAGTTTCTAATTTTTGAAGAAAAATTAGAACACAAATTCTAAAAACTCAACCAAACAGAATTATATATATATATATATATATATTTGGAGCACCTATTTATTTTATTTTATTTTTTAGTTCTATGTATCATGGTGCTGCAGTCCTAAGACGCATTTTGAGAGAGAAAAAATACATACCTATTTTCTCTACTTATTTCTATATAGTAATAACAAATTGACTTAATTAATTGGAACCATATTTTTTCCTTAAACGCTTCCACTTTGAGATGGTTGTCACGTGAAAGTTAGTAAATTTTGAGTAAATTAAGGGGCTTCCTTATCTTATTGTAAATTTAAACTTAAGAGAAATTAAACAAGGGAAAATAATTTGCAAATTGGTGGGAAGGGTCTGAAAATTAGCAAGCTGTAATGGAAGCATAAAAGAAAATTACAAATAGGTGAAAAGCACCCTTTGAATTTACCAAACTACCCCATTTGCCTTCTTCTTTCCCTTTCTTGGGTCTTTTTTTTCTATGTATCTCCAATTAGCAGTCTTGATCGTCGGCCGCCACCCTTACCCTCTTCACCACTCTAAAATCCTTCCCCACCCATTCTTGTCACTCCCGCACCTTCGTCTACCCATTTCCGCCACTTTCTCAAAACCTTAGCCACTAACTCTTCCCTATTGTAATCCTCACACGTTTCCTTCTTAGTGATGATCAATTGAACTGTCACTCAGTATAATGATATTTATGAAAATTAGAGGAAAATAATTGAAGAGAGAGGGGAGGGAAATCTACAGAGGTCTTACCATAGTGCTCGAGAAAGGTCTCGCCGAAGTTGTCATTGAGACTAACTCCATCAGAGCCCAAGAAATGATCACAAACGGGCCTCCCCCAAACTGCCCGTATAGAGCCATTGTGGAAGATGCTCGTCACCTTCTCCAGCGGTGCAATTGTTCCATCCAGCACATTATGAGTGAAAGATTGGTAGAGAGGAAGAGAAAAGAGAGAGACTGAAAAGAAGGATTTGCATATACAATGTATGTTATTATATTTCTGTGTTTACAGGAGAATGAGCTCTCTCTCTTTATAGAGACCGGCTTCAGAGTAGGACAAATGAGGTGCAGCAGTTAAACGCCCAACTGGCTCTGCTCCAGCGCATGTATAAGGATGCGCGAGCAGAGATATGTGTGCTAAAGGCGGAAAATAAGGAGCTGAAGCGGAAGGCCACCGTTACGTTCCGATTCGGAGGTCCGCCATATATTGCGGTGGAAGAGCAAGGGGGAGTGAACGGGCTCGGCGGCGTGGGAAACACAGAGACAGCACCGTCAAGGGCCGCCTTGGACGGAGGCAAGAAGAAAAGAGTAGTGGAAGAGGCAAAAAAGTAAGGCCGGTGTTTGGGATGGAATTTTTGTTGTTTTTGTTTGTTTTTTTTTTTTGTGTTGGTTTTTTTTTTTTTTTTTAAAAAAAATTTTATGTGTAATTTCTGCAGCAAATTGTATGTAACCGTAAGTTTGTAAATAAAATAACGAGCTTTCCTTTGTATTATTGTTGTCCTTATTTCTTTTGAGTTGTAAATTTGGAAGAATGGCAAAGGCTGAGCCGAATTCAATGAAAAATAGGTATGAAAGTAAGGCTTGTGCGTGGATTATGAATCTTTTTTGTAGATTGTGACGTAAGATAAGAAAAAGAAAAATAAAAATAACTTGTCAAAAGGCTGAGGGACATGCCATGTGGGTGTCATGATAAGAAAAGGCAAAAGAAAGAAAAAAGAGGAAAATTCAAATAGGAGTGGAGACAGGTTGGGTGGTATTTTGTGGAAAGAAGAAGATACATGGCCAGCAGGATGATTAGGTTTTGGTGGGTGGGAAAAAGTAAAGTGAGAGAGAGAAAATCTGTTTGCCGGATTGAGAGAGAGAGTGGGTGTAAAGTGAGAGAGACTGGGAAAAAGAGATTCACGGAGGGCGTGTGTGTGTGATGACAGTCGGTGGTGTGGTGTGTGATGGCTGTCTGTATCAGCGTGTGTATATGCTGTGTGTATGAGCTTTGTGTTGTTAATGAGAGTTTTTTGTGGTGTGTTTGAGTGTCTTCTCTCTCCTAACCGAGAGTGAAAGAGAGAGAGAGAGAGAGAAAGTCAGAGCCCTCCATTTCAACCCATGGCTGTGTTTGTAGCTCAAATCGTGCCTATGTGTGTGTAGCTCCAATGGTGTATCTGTGTCTCCTTCTCCCTAACCCAAACTGCCGAGAGAGAGAGAGGTTGGTTCAGTCATTCCGAGAGCAAGCTCGAGTGGATGTTGCTGAGTTGCCTCCGAGAGAGAGAGAGAGGTCTGTAAGAACAGTTGCTGGCGTAATCCGAGAGCAAAACCCAGCATTCACAAACCATCTGGAAGAACAGTTTCATTCCACAATCTACTCATCTGAGAGCGGAAGCGCAGGCTCAGGAAGCCACAGCGGCGTTGCTTCAGGCTCAGCTTCAGCAAGTCATAACGGGCGGCGGCGCATAGCCGGAGGACGCCGAGTCGGCTTACATTGATCCAGACCGAGTCAAGGCGGCGAGTGGATCGAGGCGAGTGGATCGAGTTGCAAGGCGTGTCGGGAACAAGTTGCTTTGGTGGGTGTATTGCCGTGTCGGCACCTGTCTGTGAAGAGAATGTGGTGCCATGGCTCAAGCTCGTCCTGTCTGTCTCTCTTTCAGGGAGTATGTTGCCGCCGTTGATGGCGAAGAACTCGAAGCTATGTGTAGAAAATTCCAGCGGGCAGCGAAGGCAAAGTTGCCGGTCGGCTGCCCGCCGATGAGAAAAAATACAGGCCTAAATCTTATAGCTCTGATACCATGTAAGATAAATTGATAGAGAGAGAGAGAATAAATTATGTATATATTGATGTATTGAATGTTATATCTTTAACAATGTTAGAAGCTCCTTATATAGGAGAGGATTACAAACCTGAATAGGAACGTGGCCGAAAGTAGCCGAACACTAACTTAAAGTAATGTATAATAAAGACAAGTACTAACCTACTAACATCATTACAAGCACTACTAAAGTTGCAGCACAAACATATGGTGGCGGAGGTGAAGATATTCAGTCCCTTCGGATGGAGGCTGAGTCTGCTGGGGAAAAAGCTGCATCTGCTTTGGAGCAGCTCCACGAGGCTGATATTGAAAATCAATCGCTTCGAATCATGACTCAGAGACTGATACTGTCTGATAGAAGTCGGAGCTTTCGACCTTGAGAGTGATAGTCTTTCCGGTAAGGGTTTTGACGAAGATCATAAGAGTGATGATGAGTTCCTACATCAAGATAGCGTAGCGCATGCTATCGTTAACCATGACATGGTTCATCTCTGACATGCGTGCCAACTCACTCGACACCCACACTCCATCAACACCATTGATGTTAGGATGAGAAAGGCAGGAGAGGGAAAGAGAGAGAGAAACAATTATGTATGTATATTTATGTATTGAATGTTATGTATTACAAATGGTGAGGGGCTCCTTATATAGGAGAAGTTTACAAACAAAATGATGCACTGCACTATCTGCACTATCTTAAAGCAACCGAAAGCAGCATTATCATTACCTAACATTATTAAGGCATTAAAGCTAAGGCTAACATCATTACAAGCACATGCACTAATATATACTAATAGTAAAATATACTAACAGTCCCCCTCAAACTCAAGGAGGATAAGCACAAATTAACTTGAGTTTTGAGAGAGTAACAAAACAGGCAAATAAATTGAAAAATAAAATAGGATAGGAGACACTGTATGGTCGTGTCAGAATCGTTGGTGAAGACACTGTATGGTCGTGTTAGACCGTTGTAGGAGCTAACTGGAATCAATGTCGGGACAGTTTACGGGGTCATGCCAGACCGATGTAGAAAC